CTCCCCTCTCTCTCTCTCCCCTCTCTCTCTTTTAAAAAAAAAAAGAAGCTAGAAATACATGTTTTAGAAGGAACAATTTGATAAAGTAAATTAAATGTTTAAAAAGTAGGGTATGAGGTTATGTAAAGCAGAGTGAACACCTCTTCCCCCATTCCAGAAATCAATATATCTCCTAATCACAGTTCACTCCCATTTTTAATTTGCTTATCCCCAGTTCATTGAAGAGTGTTGACCTGAAAGCTGCTTCATACTTGTTCACTGTGTTGTGTCTTCAAGTAAAGAATAATGGCTTCCCTTCACTTTTGCCTGTAAATATTACAGAAATGTCTTTCATTGTGGAATGCAAATGAGAGCTCTGGTTTTAAGGCATAGGGGAAATAGAATTCATTCCTGGAGATATAATTAAAAGTTGACAAAACTGAAAAAAGAAATGAGTACTAATATATAGTAACCAGTTTAATAATGCCCCATGTAATGTGGTGTGACAATTTAGTAGTAGGCCCATTCATCTACGAAAGGACATTCAAATTATGTTTTTTTCCTACTAACAATGTATTCGTAATAGGCATTAATTTAAATGACATTAATTTTATTGATTCAAATAATATTATTTTTAATATTATTCTCTTCTCCAATATGTATTTCTTATAATACTGAGATATAGAATGAGGAAATTATTATGTAAATCCCCCTATATAATTATTTTCTAATTTAAAATCACTTCGTTCAATAGATTTTAAAAAATTAGCATCTTTAAAAATCGTACAGGAAAACTGCATTTATTTGACTTTCTACTGGATTTTTCTACCAAGAAGCATTTAATTTAAAAAATGTGTAGAGCTGTGCACAGTGACACAAGCTTGTAATCCCAGTGACTGTATAGGCTAAGGCCAGCCTCAGCCACCAATCTTCTCAATCCCTCTCCCACTCCTCAGCCTATTTTATCTGGAGAAAGATCTGGCCTCAAATTTGTATATCTCCCTGCCTCAGCCTCTGAGTTGTGGGAATACATGCATGCAGTACCACCTTCACAGCTGGCAGTGAATGGATTATCTGTAGAGTACCATCAAAGACTCATACCACAATTACACACAGAGAACCTGGAAAGAGCAGTTCTCTGTTATTTATATTGGTGGAATTGACCATAGTATAATGATGTTGATGGTGGGTGAGGACCCTGAAAACATAAATTTTCAGATAAATACATTGTTTCAAAGTACTGAAAATTTCCATGAGTAAAATAAAAATCTGGAACTTTTAATTGTACATGTGTTTTTTATTTTTAAATATGAACATTTTGACATGTGTTTAATCTTAAAATTATAACAACAAGCAAAAGAAATGAAAGACTACTTCCTGTCGTATTTTCTTTTATTATGCAAAATAGTGCAAAAGTATTTATCTCCTTATGTGAAAATAACAATGACAAATTTGGTAATAAACATGAAATAGTTGTGAAAATGCTATAGATTCTCTAATTTGCATGTTTTACATTCCTAGGTTATTCAAATAACCAGATGCTCAACTCACACACTTTATGTTCACATATTACTCAAATAGCCAGAATAATTTTGCATTCTGGTTTTTCCATTCAAGAGTTTGGAATTTAATCCCTTTAAATCTTTCTAATCTTTGTTTCATTATCTGTGAAATTTGAATAATTGTACTTACACAATATACTCTGAGAATAAGAATGATATATTAGTAGTTTAAAATAGTCATGGATTATAGTAGACAGTATCAGGATATTATTGTGTCATAAATACATTTTATAGAATTCATACTATAGTGTTTGTTATGGTTTGGATATGAGATGTCCTCTAAAAGCTCCTGTGCTATTGTGGGAATATTCAGAGGTGAAATGATTAGGTTATGAGACCGGTAACCTAATCAGTCCATCCCTAGTATGAATGGAATATATATGTGATAACTATAGGCAGGTGGGACAAAGCTGGAGGAGATGGGGTGTGGAAGGGCTTGAATGGTTCATCTTTCCCAAGGCCCCTCTCTTCCCCTTTTCTTTCTCTGCTTCCCAATCACCCTGAGTTAAACTGTGTTCCTCTGCCAACAACTTTCTACCATGGAGGCCATGAATCTGTGAGTCTAAAATAAACTTTTTTTGTTCTTGTTAGGTGCAGGACAGGCTGAGTAAGCTGTCTGCAGGGCATGCCAAACAAAGTTAGCTGCAGGATGACCTGGCCTCTCAAACCCTCTGTCTGGTTCTTTATCACCTATTTGCTTCAAGCCCAAAGGCCCAAGCCCCGCTCAAGGCTGAACACTTAAATCCCCTTGTGCTAACAAGGCAGCTTGCAGACCCAGAAACTCCATTAGAATTGGGCTATAAAAACTCCCTCCTGCTGGGCCCCTCTCTCTTGCTCTCTCTCTTGCTTTCTCTGTCTCTCTCTTGCAGACAGAAGGACACAGAAATATTGATTGTAAAGGGTGAAAATAGATATTCTATGCAAATAGCAATTATAAAACAGATGAGGTAGCTTTATTATTATCAAAGAGTTTTTTTGTCAAATAATGAACCAGAAACATGGGATATTCTATATGCATAGACAATTCACTCTCTAGAATATATATCGATTATAAATATATGTATACCCAACAAAAAGATCTCAAAATATATGAAGCAAAAATTGGTAGAATTGAAATGAGAAATAGTGCTATAAAAATAGTTGGTGTTATTAGTCTGCTTCTATTACAGATTAATAACCAATAAATAACTAATAACTAATTAATAACTAATACACAAACTAATAACTAATAGACAAAATACGTGAGAAAAGTAAATTCAAAGAAGGAAAGGTTTATTTATCTCATCGTTTCAGACGTTTTTTCAGTACAGCATTTGTTGGATCCATGGTTTTGAGGTCAGATATCATGGAGGGGAGACTGGGAGTAAAGCTGGTTACCTCATGGGAGATGGGAAGCAAAGAGAGAGAAATTGGAATGGGCTGGGACCCAATATCTCTTTCAAGGGCACACCCACAGGGATCTAGCTTACTTCCACTAGGCTCTGTCTCCTAAGTTTCCATCCCCTGGCAGTAGTGGCCCAGACTCATGAATAGATGAACCTTTGGTGGTCAATTAAGATGAAGACCACAACAATTGAAGAGAATCCTTCATTTTAATATAAGATATAACAACCAGAAAGAAGATGACTAAGGAAATCAAGGACTTGGATAACACTACAAA